TATACTCTATTGGGAAAATATATATACTCTATACTCTATTTCCAAGGTAGAGGGTATAAAAACTGTTTATCTCTTTTTAGTTTGTTTCAACGTTTGTCATATTTTTTATCGCATGCAATTTTTTCAATTTGACTTACAATTTTGAATTGCACATTTTCTATAGTTTTTTACACACCGCATCACTATTTATTGAGGATATTATATACAGGTCGCATTTATCGTCCGATCCTCACAAAATTTAGCTTGGGGTAGGGTTATTGCCAGAATTAAAGCCTATTACCATGGAGATACATATTTAGGGGTTCAAATGGTCCAACAAATTAAAATTTTCCTGTCGCTCTACAGGTCACAATTAAAAAGTCTAGACTTCTAGAAGAAGTCTAGCATTTCGGATGACCGTTTGACTATATAGAGCTGTTATATGAACCACAACTTTTGTGTGAAATTGTTTTGAACTCCCAACAACACGACGGAGTGCGTAAATGTTCTGTAAATGCCCCCGTTCAAAAAACTAAGGGTAGGGCTCTATGACATCTTATCAAAAACGAAATCTTTTAAAATTGATTTGTACATTAGGGGCCTTTCAACATATTGTAATGTTGTATGGTATCACATGGGCGGCCCTGCACGACCATAGCTTTTGCTTACTTCTTTCCTGTGATATATTCATATTTTTGAAAAATGTTTCTAAAAATCAATTGTTGAATCCCTAAGTAAAATTCATACATTTTCTCCTAAGGAAATATACCTAAAAATCCACGATGATCTCTCTGTGAAGTATCTTCCATGGAATGTATGACAAGAACCATTTAATAACACTGTTGGCTTCTATACTTACCTTTGTTGTGTAAAAACATAACCAGACATACACAAAGTGTCCATACATACATACAATGTAATAAAACAAATTGGAATTTATTTCATTTTATTAGTTTTTATTTCTTGCTCTCATTTTTTTTTAATTTCAATTAACAGCAAATATGTAATAAACATTTTTTAGATATTAACATTATTTATAAATTATTTATATTGAATTATACAAAAATTTGTTACATAAACGTGTATGTATATATATATTTACATTTAGTTAGTCATAGTTTTTTTTTAATTATTTATATTATGCATAAATTGATGTAGGTATTAAAGAAGAAAAAAAATCGTTTTTATCATAACAAATTTAAATAATTTACAATGATAACTGCTATAATATACATTTCTATATATTTGTATAGTTATACGTATCATGAATATATTAAAACAAGTAAGCAAAGGCTACAGTCGAGCGGGGCCGACCGTTGAATACCCTACAACACTATAATAAATTCCACAAGATATTGTGACAAATAATAAAAGAAAACCATCAGGTTTCGTTCTCTATTTTTCGAATAATAGCAACTTAAACTAATTTGCTCATTTCCAATTTATTGGTAGATGTTGCACGTAAATGGTCTTCCTAGATCTGGAACCAATATTTCCCAAAGACCTATAACCTCTCAGAAGTGGCAAAAGATTAACATTTATTATTGGTTTTTGACTGAAACGCATCTATATGAGATACAGACATTTGACTATATTCTTCAACGAAATCAGCGTTAACGAAATAGTCGGAAGTGTGTCTTTCCTGTATTTGTGAATTCTCCAAAAAGTCACTGGAATGGACATTTTTGTATTTAGTCTACAAAAGTTGGCAAACTATTTCACACATTGAATATTTTTGGATGGCCATCCGAAACTGCTTGGCTTTTGCAATGTGCGGTAACCCCCATTTAAATGTGCGTGAGGATCGGGCGACAATTTTGCAGTTTTTTGGTCCATTTCAACCCCTAAATATATGGCGATCATCTCCAAAAAGAGTAGGCTTCTATTCTGACCCTCATCTTATCCCCATGCAAAATTTCGTAAGGATCGAGCCATAAATACGATCTGTATATGATATCCTGATATCCTAACTACTTAGTTTTGTTAGCTGTAGAAATATTACCAAATGTTTAATTCAAAATGAAAATATACCAAAAATATGACAAAATTGGAAAAATATGAGAAAATGTTACAAAATCAATATTTTCATCTTTAGAGAGATATTTTTATGCGATTTTTTAGACGTTTTTTTCTTTCCTGCCAAGAGGCCATTCTGAATTAATGAGAACTGTCGAAATCAGTTCAGTCGTTCTCGACATATAAGAGATTTTTCAAGCATATCTTCTTTGATAGACATATATATCGCACATATTTTGCTATATATCCGATTTGTTGGATGTTAACATCAATGTAAAGGTCAGAAGTAACCTGGTCATGGCTTTGTGAGTTCGCCGGGATTTAAAATATTCGCGGTTTAATGAAAAATGTTGAATTTTTTCAACACAAAAGATATGGTCTATTTTACCCGCTAAATATTATCCGATGACCACCCAAATTAGTAGGCTTCTTCCCTGCCCCAAACTCTAGGTACACGCGAAATTCCGTGTCAATTGGTCTATAATTGCGACCTGTATAGCTACTTCAAAATCCGACATTTTTTCAGTATTTGGTCCATTTCAACTCCTAAACATTTGGCGATCATCTCCAAAAGAAATAGGGTTCTATTCTGACCTTAACCCCACCTACATTCAAAATTTCGTGAAGATCGGGCCATAATTGCGACCCGTAGCGTGATTACAAATTAACATGGACAGACGGACAGACGGACGGACGGACATACATAGCTAGATCGACTCAGCTCGGCGAGATAGGAAGATCCATATATACTTTCCTATGTGGGAAATCAATATTTCGAGGTGTTACATAATTTTTGGCCCAATCAAACTTATAATACCCCCAACACATAGTGTTGTAGGGTATAAAAATACTTTTTTGTTATTATGTGAAATTTTTAAATATTTGAATCTTTAAATGGAGAGTTGATAATTCAAAGTAAAAAGGAAGAACATTTTTAACGTGTCATATTATTTGTATACTTAAAGAGAAATTTCGCGACATTTATCAGGTAAATTTAATAAAATTGTCTGAAATCATATTTGCCTAGATTAAGGTAGTATCCGAATATATACAGTCAAGAAGCTTTTATGTATCGATTTTGAAGAAATATAAAAAAACATGTAAAAAAGCTGTAATTTCGGCCGGGCGCACCTTTGAATATCCTCCACCATTTGGAAGCAATTGGGCAATTTTCAAAAAAAAAGGTAAAATAAAATCCGTTAAAAATTCAGTTAAAATCTTAAAAATATTGTATGTAGCCGTTATATAAGGGGCCTATACGACGACGTGGACCTGCATAGGGAACTTTTGTCATAAGCTATTTAAATATTCAAATGCGAAACTTGAAAAAAATTATGTTTATAATGTAGTTAAAATCATCAAAATACCGAATATCGGGAGGTATCGTTATATGGGGGCTATACGAAGACGTGGACCTGCACAGACAATTTTCTGTCATATTCTGTAGTATCCGCTATGAATCTCAAATACCAAATTTAAAACAATTCCGATGAATAATGTTGCCAAAAACATCAAAGTACCTAATATCGGAGGTGCCGTTATATGGGGGCTATAAGAAGACGTGGTCCTCGCAGGCAATCTTCTGTCATAGGCTGTAGTATGAATTACGAACTTCAAATATCAAATTTGAAAAAATTCCGGTGAATAATGTCGCTAAAATTATCAAAATACAGAATATCGGGAGGTACCGTTATATTATGACTATACGAAGACGTGGACCTGCATAGACAATTTTCTATCATATTCTCTAGTATCCGCTTCTAATTTCAAATACCAAATTTTAAAACAATTCCGATAAATAATGTCGCTAAAATCATCATTGTACCAAATATCGGGAGGTACCGTTATATGGGGGGCTATACCAAAACGTGGACGTACGTGGCCCATTTTCAATACCAAAAGTCCTGCAGACATTATATACATCTGAGTAAAATGTCATTTACCTACTTCATTTCGTTCGGAAGCTAGAGTGATTTCCACAGACGGACGGACATCGAAAATCGATATAGAATTTTATGCTGATCAACACTGATCTACACTGTATATTTCGAGGTGTTACAAATGGAATGACAAACTTAATATTCCCTCCATACTAAGGTGGAGGTTATAATAATTTACATTTATTGGTAAGTGTCCAAGTGCAGTTAAGGGCTATTGAGGTACATTCTTAAATCTCTAAGTCGATTTATAATATTGGTCTGGATACTATGGTCAAAACGTCTGTCTGTCTTTTATCTGCAGGCAGGTTAAGTTCGAAGATGGGCTATGTCGGTCCATGATATCGTACAGCCCCCATATAACGGTACCCCCCGATATTGGGTATTTGGATGATTTTAGCCACATTTTTCAATGAAATTGTCTAAAAATGTCTTTATAGGTTCACAATATCGTGTATCCCTCACATATATCGGCACCTTCCGATATTCGGTATTTTTAAGATTTTAACAGAATTTTAAATGGATTTTGCTTTTTTTTGAAAATTCCCTAATTCGTTCCAAATGGTGGAGTGTATTTCAAGTTCGACCCAGTCGAACTTGCTGCTTTTGTGCCTGTTAAACCTTAAACGCTCCTTCCAAATGGTGTTTTTCCCTTATGGGGGAGGTACCCATCTTCACACTAGATCTTGTGTTAAGAGAAATATTTATGATCTGTTCGAGAATCTGAAAGAATCAACTGAAACGGATTTCTTCCAGAGAGACTGATTATACCATAACACGGTATTTTGATGAGACACATTTTGACAATATCAAAAAAATAAATATTGAGCTACAAAAGATATAATTTCCTCCTAACGTTCAATCCCCAAAGAGGTTTTTAAGCCAAAATTTAATTTTATACCGTAGGCATTTTGCAAATTTTCAAAAATATATCCAAATTAAGAAATTGAAAAATGTTTATTATTAATTAATTCCAAATAGTTATATATATTGTTATTTTATCTAATTGAATATTTATACAAAATATTTAACATTAAGCTAATTTGTTTTTTTTTTTGTTTTTTTTTTTTTTTTTGTATTGCATTATAATTATATTTGTTGTCCCTAGTTAAGAGTTTCTTTCTTTCAATTTATGTCTGTGTGTATTTTTTATTATCATTATTTATGTTATCTAATAATAAATATGGTGTCATTTTCTTATTTAGGTTTCTTATACTTCTGCGACAATAAGACCACAAAAAAAAAAAAAAAAAAAAAAACAATAAAATAAGGTTATTGCAGTTCGTTTGAAGAATAATTTGGAAAATAACCTCCCCCTTTTTAATTTAATAAGCATAATCGCATTGAGAAAAAAAGGGTTAGCAGGGGTATGCAATGTAATTTCTTAATTAAGTTTGTCATTAGTTAATTACACTTACATACAAAGTTTTAATTAATTCTTTGTTGTTTATGTTGATGAGTACTGCTGGGTTTTCTATAAATATCGTTTTTTTCTCATTTTTCCCTAGTTCATTTTGTTGTAGTTGGTGTGGGATGTTTTTTTTTTGTTTTATTTGTTTGTCTATAGATATTTACTTTAAGCGTATTGCCCTGCCCCTTTTACTTTTGCTTTCTTTACACAAGGTTTTTATACTAACACTACGACTATTGCTTTCAGCGACGGTTTGAAGGACGGTGGCGCCATTGTCCGACGAACTAAAACACTGCATTTCCATTAATGGCTACAATGGAGTTCGTTTACCATTGGCATTGCTGCACGCTGCGTTGCCGCTGCCAACACCACCACCACCACCGCCTCCCCCAATATCCATTACCAAAGGATGACAAATCTCATAAACAGGAACTTTCAAACTGGACTTTCGGACCCCCAAGCTATTCTGTGAACTGGAATTGGTGGGCCCGAACGAGGGTCATCTGTGCTCACTGTGATCGCTGTGATGGTACTCCGACTCATCGCCGAACGAATGGGCCGCCGCACTGGGCGTAATGCTCGGCGTTCGTCCCCTTATGCGTATGGCTGACATATCACTGCCACGTCGTGACGTTTTCAAATTTATCGATTTGCCCGAACAAAAGCACTTACAGATGATACGTTTAAAGGCAAACCGAAAATCTTTGGAGAACAAGGCATAAATCATGGGATTCACGGCCGAGTTGCAATAGCCCAGCCAAAAGAGTATGGAGAACAGCAACGGATCGATGCAGTCCTGGCAAAACGGTCGTATGATGTACATTGTAAAGAAAGGCAGCCAGCAGAATATGAAGAGGCCCACAATGATGGCCAGCGTTTTGGCCGCCTTCGTCTCCATGCGAAACCGTTTCACCTGGGCCTTTATGTTACGTTTGCCCATTTTTTTATTCGGCCGTGTCTGCAACATTTGCTGGTTATCGCTGCTGTTCGAACTTCTGCGCATCATATCAGGCATCGATTTGCCCACCTGCAGAAAACAATTGCCTCCATGCTGGTGATGTTGATGCCGGTACAATTGAGTCTCGGTGCAATCACGACCATTTTGTGTGCCATAATGGACGGCAAACAGCATGTTACCTCCGCTGGCCGAGGCCGTACGTCCTCGTTCATGATGATGGTGCTGATTATGGCTGTGACTTACATTAGCCGTCTCATGTACGTGCTGGGCCATTTCCGATATATTATCGTTGGATGGATACGAGACGGAAATCTTTATTTTATCGTGCTGGTGCAATCGGCGGGTGGAGTATTTACTCATGCGCTCGGGCGAGGGGGTGCCCAGGGTCGTTGTTGTACTCTGGGTGCTGCCGTTGCTGTGTGTGGAGTCATGTTGATTAGAGCCACGGCCACGATGTATTCTCAGTGTCAAACGTTGTTCGTCGAAACGTGATCCAATGCCCTTGGAACCTACAGAGGTGAAAGACGAACAAGAAGAACGAGAAGGAGAAGAAAAAAGGAAACACATGTTAATGAAGGCTAAATAGAAGCTGGGAGAAAGGACATGATATATTCAAAATGTAAACATTCAATAGCATTGTAGCGTCATGTTCCGTTGGTTTCGTAACTACATAAATAAAACATAAAATACAGCTCTTTGCGGCAACTGCAATTGTTGTTCAATTCAGAGTAGATGGTTTTTTTTTCTTAGAATCGAAGTAACCTTTATTATCATTGATTCCGGACAAAGTTCATGATTTAATTCAGTTAATACGTGAGTGACATGGGAAATTATGGCCATTATTATTTGCATTTTATTTTGTACCAGGGGAAAGGGGAAGACAGAGATAAAAATAGCTTTCCACATTCCTCTGCGTGTGTCTAATATTATTTTAATTCTACATACTGGCAGCTGTAGCTTGGTGACAGAAATTTCCGAATTTAACCGAATAAATGGATCCTAATAAACTAATGCTGATTGACTAATACAATGGATATGGATTTTGATAATATTTAGGTAATTAGTATAATTTTCAAAATAAACAAGTAAGCAAAGGCTACAGTCGAGCGGGGCCGACCGTTGAATACCCTACAACACTATAATAAATTCCACAAGATATTGTGACAAATAATAAAAGAAAACCATCAGGTTTCGTTCTCTATTTTTCGAATAATAGCAACTTAAACTAATTTGCTCATTTCCAATTTATTGGTAGATGTTGCACGTAAATGGTCTTCCTAGATCTGGAACCAATATTTCCCAAAGACCTATAACCTCTCAGAAGTGGCAAAAGATTAACATTTATTATTGGTTTTTGACTGAAACGCATCTATATGAGATACAGACATTTGACTATATTCTTCAACGAAATCAGCGTTAACGAAATAGTCGGAAGTGTGTCTTTCCTGTATTTGTGAATTCTCCAAAAAGTCACTGGAATGGACATTTTTGTATTTAGTCTACAAAAGTTGGCAAACTATTTCACACATTGAATATTTTTGGATGGCCATCCGAAACTGCTTGGCTTTTGCAATGTGCGGTAACCCCCATTTAAATGTGCGTGAGGATCGGGCGACAATTTTGCAGTTTTTTGGTCCATTTCAACCCCTAAATATATGGCGATCATCTCCAAAAAGAGTAGGCTTCTATTCTGACCCTCATCTTATCCCCATGCAAAATTTCGTAAGGATCGAGCCATAAATACGATCTGTATATGATATCCTGATATCCTAACTACTTAGTTTTGTTAGCTGTAGAAATATTACCAAATGTTTAATTCAAAATGAAAATATACCAAAAATATGACAAAATTGGAAAAATATGAGAAAATGTTACAAAATCAATATTTTCATCTTTAGAGAGATATTTTTATGCGATTTTTTAGACGTTTTTTTCTTTCCTGCCAAGAGGCCATTCTGAATTAATGAGAACTGTCGAAATCAGTTCAGTCGTTCTCGACATATAAGAGATTTTTCAAGCATATCTTCTTTGATAGACATATATATCGCACATATTTTGCTATATATCCGATTTGTTGGATGTTAACATCAATGTAAAGGTCAGAAGTAACCTGGTCATGGCTTTGTGAGTTCGCCGGGATTTAAAATATTCGCGGTTTAATGAAAAATGTTGAATTTTTTCAACACAAAAGATATGGTCTATTTTACCCGCTAAATATTATCCGATGACCACCCAAATTAGTAGGCTTCTTCCCTGCCCCAAACTCTAGGTACACGCGAAATTCCGTGTCAATTGGTCTATAATTGCGACCTGTATAGCTACTTCAAAATCCGACATTTTTTCAGTATTTGGTCCATTTCAACTCCTAAACATTTGGCGATCATCTCCAAAAGAAATAGGGTTCTATTCTGACCTTAACCCCACCTACATTCAAAATTTCGTGAAGATCGGGCCATAATTGCGACCCGTAGCGTGATTACAAATTAACATGGACAGACGGACAGACGGACGGACGGACATACATAGCTAGATCGACTCAGCTCGGCGAGATAGGAAGATCCATATATACTTTCCTATGTGGGAAATCAATATTTCGAGGTGTTACATAATTTTTGGCCCAATCAAACTTATAATACCCCCAACACATAGTGTTGTAGGGTATAAAAATTCGCCCAGGAAATGTGTATATATTTATAGCCTAAAAAAATACTTATTATCTACTCTTATTATAACTTCATCATTTGCTGTGACGTAATTGTGAAAAATACCTTTTGTGACTATAAAGACACTGAACCCAATTTGATGTTTCGAACTCGGATAATTTAAGAGTATGATAAGAAATGATTGAACTCACGCTGTTTAAACACCAAATATATGTCAACGAATGAACAGCAAATGTTCTCAAACAATAAAACACGACTACCTTGTTCATATTTTAATAGGGTTTTGAAAGACAAATCTCCAATATTCCAAACCTAACTTTACAAAGAAGGGTATAAAAAAGCTGTTATCATTCAAAAAAACTCATTGAGTACAGTATTGGAGGAAATGCTAACTTGGAGGAATCTATATATTGGAAATATTAAACTAAAAATCCAAGTTTTGTCAAAGAAGTTTTTGAAAATATTCCTAAGAATGGGCCTGTTAAAAGTTTGATAAAAACAATATTTTACAAAAAAAAAAAAAACAAAAAATCAACTAAAGCTGAGACCTCGTTCGCATCATAAGATATGAAAATTAAAAAAAAAAAAATAATTGGTATTTGGCCTATATTACCATTTTTCAAAGATACAGATAAAAGTATTGAAATTTGTGATCCTTTGTAAGTAAGACCCAGAAGGGGTCACAGATATATATTATCTGCACAACAGATAGCAGACCTGATAAGAGATTAGCAAAAATGTTTGTATGTGTGAAGTGTTGAATGCTTATTTCGCATTCTTTAATCGTTTTGTTTTTCATAATCTTGAACTCTATGCGTACGTAGCAAAAGAAATGGTCCGATCTCTACCATCTTTATAACATATCTTGTATTGATGCAAATATTGAGATATATCAAGTCTTGAATGGAATCGGATGTTAATTTCGCTTTTTTATGAGCTTCATGGATATTTAAAATTTTCCGCCTTTGTGGGGGAGGTACCAGAAGGAGTGCACCGATATATCCCATCTTCACAGCAGATCTTTTGTTGTGGAAATAATGGATGTGTGAAATATAAAGAGAATTTGATGTTTATTTCGGATTTTATAAAAGTTTTGGTTATTCAAAACTTTGACCCTTTGTAGGGGTCTTGTATTGATAGAAATATTCAGATGTGCCAAGTCTACATGGAATCGGATATTAGTTTCGCATTTTTTGAGCTCAATAGATATTCAAAATTTTGGCCTTTTGTGGGGGAGGAACCAGAAGGAGTGGACCGATATATTCCATCTTAACACCAGATCTTGTGTTTATAAAAATATTGGAATGTGTGGAATTTTAAGACAATCGGATTCTTACATAAGATTTTTAAGAGTTATAATTATTCAAAATTTTTACCTTTTGTGGGGGAGACATTTGATGGTGTGGACCAATATTATCCATCTTTGCACCTGAGCTAGAACTCACGCAGATATTAGCATTTGCAAAGTTGGAACAAAATCGGATTATTGCTTATATATATATATATATATATTTTTTTTTTTTGTAGGGAGGTATAAGAAGAGGTGGACCGATGTATTCCATCTTTGCACTAGACCTTGGGTTAATAAAATTATTTTGTTTTGTGCAATTTGAAGACAATCGGACACTTATATCACATTTTATAAGAGATCATACGGTATATATCAAATGATAGCCATATGGCTGAGGGTATAAAAATACCGAATGCCGTTACGAGTATATTAGTGTCTATACGAAGACGTGGACTTGCATAGGCAACTTTTGTCATAAGCCATTACAACATTAAAATGCAAAACTTGAAATAAATCGCCGAAGAATGCAGATAAAATTGTCAACATACCGAATATGGAGAGATACTATTATTTGGGGGCCATACGAAGACGTGGAACGGCACGCACAATTTTCTGTCTTATGCTGCAGTATCCATTACGAACTTCAAATACCACATTTCAAACAACTCCGGTGAATAATTTCTCTACAATCATCAAAATACCGAATATCGGGAGGTACCATTACATAGGTGCTACACCAAAACGTGTACCTACATGATCCATTTTTAATACTAAAAGTCCTGCAGACATAATTTATTTGAGTACAATTTTATCAACGTACTACATTTCGTTCGGAAGCTAGAGTGATTTCCACAGACGGGCAGATGGACAAACGGACGGACATCGCTAAATCGAAATAGAATTGTATGTTGATCAAGAATATATATACTATGTGGGATCTAAAATGTATATTTCGAGGTGTTACAAACGGAATGACAAACTTAATATACCTTCCATACTATGGTGGAATGTATAAAAACATCAAGACAGGTCCACTTTCTAGTATGACATTGGTATACGGGATCACTTGATTCTAATACGTTGGATCTAAACTGGCACTTGTTGTTGGCTCTCTTGTGTGATCACTTCTCAATTCGATATTTCGACATTCTTATTTAGTTTGGCGTTGATAATAGCGTGAAATTACATTTTATAAGAATTGTATGTAACAATCAGCGTTCGAAAATTAACAGTATGGTACTGTACCGTAGTGTTCTATACCGTTCCGAGGTGGAGTGGTACACTAAGATAATGTACTGTACCGGAGCACAACCCTTAAAACATATTTTAGAGATACTGTACCGGAACACAACGAGAATCGTACTGTACCGCACTACGAAATCGTAGAGTTCCGCAGTCGGAGCACTACAAAATCGTAGTGTACCACATGGCGGAACATTAAAAAAAAAATAATGTACCGGTAGTGTACCACACATGTGTTGTTTACGATTTGTGAGAAAAATTAGATGTATGATGTTTTTGATAATGCAAACATTATTAATACAATTCAATATTA